GACTCTGTTCTTTGCACCGAGGACAGGGAGCAAGATGCACCAGGGCTCTGTTCTAATGGGACGTACACTTCGCCCAGGTCAGAAAACCACGAAGTAAATGGGTTGGTGCTGCTGGGACTCAGTCTTGGCGAGGTATGATCCAAAGGGCAGAAGACTTGGAGGTAAGCCTCTAGATTTGTGCCCCGGCACCATCTGATCTTAGACAAGTTCTTTAAAGCTCCTGACTCCTAATCAGTAAAATCAGGATCCTAATAACTTCCTGCACAATCACTGCTGGGAATACACTACGTGTGTGTGGAAAGAGAGAGGAGGGACTTGAGAGTTTTAATAAATAGACTCATGTAGGTTATTCTGATTCCTCAAATCCCTAAAACAGGACAGCTGCCTAATTTGGCTTTCAGAAACTTCTCCCAACAGGGAAAGTGGGAGGGAGGGCAGAGGGAGGGTGGAGACATTTTTACCAGGGGGCATCTCGGAAATTCAGTCTTAGTGTTGCTCAGAAGAGCGCAGCTTCCGCCCTACGGGGTTATCCCATAGTTAATTCTCCTGTTAACAGCTGAGGGGTGGTGCCTGAGGTAGGCGAGTACAGCCCCGGGGAGATGGCACCCAGGTGGCTGCTGCTGTGTGGGGATCTGCGGTGTGCCCTGCAGGCGGGGAGATGGGGCGCCTAGTGAGCTCGGGAACGGCGGCAGCCCGAGAGCCCGGGAGCTGCGCTGACATGCCCAGGAGGGTCTCAGATCACAGGTCTGCCTGGACCTCCTGCCTCCTCGCCCCCAACACCTCATTAGCGCACCCCTCCCCTTGGCAGCCTCTCTCAGCGGCTCTCCTCCAATGCGACTCTCCTCTGCACCCTGAACACCTCTTCCCGGAGTCGGTGATGGGGGATGCCTGCCAGGGATGTGGATTTTGGCCCTTGGAGAGCCAGGAGAAGCAGAACCTCTGTAAGTCATTGCCACCCAGCGGCTTGAAGCCCTTTCAGCCCAGCTCCAGAATGCTGGGGAGAGCCCCCCCACCGCCGCCACCACCGTCATCACACCAGAGACTCCCCCGGCACCAAGGACCCAGACGAGGATGGGCCCCAGCAGGTGCCGCCACTCCCCCCAAGCCCTCGGTAACCACCACAGCTGTGCACTGCAGGGGGACCCCCACAGCGCTGCTCTGAGAGCTCCGTGGAGGACACCCATCTCCGCCTTCTGCCTGAGAAAGCACAAGGACCAGCAGACCCCAGGGCGAGACCTTTGGGTCTCTCAGTGGAAAGCAAACGCAGCACCCGCTCGCCTCCGTGTGCCCATCCAGGGACCAGAGCTCTAAGGTGAGGCAGCTGCCAGGGGAGCTTCTAAAGGGCCGGGTGCCCAAGGAGCCCTCCCGCCCCCCGCCCCAGGACCCACGCCACCAAGCCCAGCACCCCGCACTCTGCTAAGCTGGGTCCCTCGCTGCCCTGCAGGGTTACGCTCAAGCCTACCTGGCAGAGGATGTCCTTAATGTAGCCCCCACACAGCTCATGGCCCCCGAGGTCAAAGTAATCCATGATGTCCCTGTACCGAGCAGCGAGGCGGCGGTCCCTGTGCTGGTCACAGCAGCCGAAGGACTCATAGGCTGAGCAAAACTCGAGGTGCAGCGGGGGCTGGAAGGGGGGCCCGTAATCCAGGCACTGGGGGTGTCCCTGCAGCAAGCCCACCTGGCCCAACCAGAATGTGAGGCAGAGGTGGAAAATGCCAGAAGAGGTAGGGAGTCTGGGGGCCCAGCAGCTGAGACCACCCCCGGGAATGGATGTCCTCAGCATTTTGGGCTCGGAAAGACTCCGGCCGCTGTGTTTGCTCAGGTTGGCTCCCCTGCTGTGCATTAGGTCCCTCCCCGCCCCCACCCCACGCTCTCTACCCCCAGGGTGTTTTCTTCCTTCCCTCTGTCCCCGCCCCCACCAAGTTCCCTGAGGTGGTTTCTGAGCAGTGTCCCTTCTGCGGTCTGGGTAGTTAAGTGTCTCATATGGAAACAATGAGAGATGTCCCTGTCCCCTCCAATCCCGTCTAAACGTGAAGCTGGTGCAAGTTCTGACCCCTACTGCTGAGTTATTGGGGTGCATGGCTGCTTAGGAAAAGGTACAATGGTGTCAATGGCAGGCCTGCTGTGATTCATTAAAACTGCCAAGAATTCCTGGGGGTGAGGGGCAGGAAATTCACACTTTGTTTACCGTTTCTTCACAAGCCTGAGCTGCCCAGAGTCCCCCGCAGAGAAGTCTCCGGGAGAGAAGACCGCGTATTACGTAGTCCCAGACATTGGAGTGTGCAAGGGCAAGATGCGGGCGTTCCTGTGGTGCTGAATGGCACCAACGGGACTCCAGGGTGGGGGCGGGGAGACAGGGGGAGGCAGGGGGCGCTGTATGGTCCCTGTGATCTGGAAGGTCTATCCTTGCAGTGGTAGGAAGAGAAGACAGGCCATGAATCTTGCATCCACAGCAGGAGGAAGAAGAAAGGAGGGAGTGTGGCCTGGTGGAAACAAGGAGTCAGCAAAGGGCTATTGGAACAGGGTCATCAGGAAGCACCGAACATCTGGGGTCTTTGTTGTTGTTTTTTTTTAAGATTTTATTTATTTATTTGAGAGAGAGAGAAGGAGAGAGCACATGAGAGGGGTTAGGGTCAGAGGGAGAAGCAGACTCTCTGCCGAGCAGAGAGCCCGATGCGGGACTCGATCCAGGGACTCCAGGATCACGACCTGAGCCGAAGGCAGTCGCTTAACCAACTGAGCCACTCAGGCGCCCCTGGGGTCTTTGTTTTTGCCAAATCTGCACTTGCTCTCAGGGCACACCTCCTCACTTTGTGTATATTTCAACATTAGCATTTAAGAATGCGTTTCACTTTATACAGGTTCCTTGCACATAACAGGGCTTTGATAAATATTTCTTAAAAAAGGAGCGCCTGGGTGACTCAGTGGCTTAAGTGTCGACTCCTGATTTTGGCCCAGGTCATGATCTCAGGGTTGTGAGATTCAGCCAGGCTTGGTGCTGGGCGTGGAGTCTGTGTGAGATTCTCCCTCTGCCCCTCCCCCTCCCCCAAGTGTGCTCCCTCTCTTTCTCTCTCTCTCAAAAAATAAATTTTAAAAATGTATATATATATTTCTTGGATAAGTGGATGAAGGACATGGGGGTCCCAAACTCACGCAACCCCAAACCCAGACAGAGGCATGAACCTGGGCACAAGTCTGCAGAGGCATCAGGTACCTGAGTTCACTTTCCTTCTGGTACATTCCATGGTTCTACTCCACCCCGAAATTTCCTTACGGGCAAAAAGTGCCCTTTGAAATGCAGATGAAATCAAAGATTCTTCTCAGCCTGGAGGGGCTTCTATGGAGGGCTCCCGTTCACCACCCCAAATAGCCTTTCCAGGGTGTCATCAAGAGGGCACAAGGAGCCTCAGTCTAGTCAAGTGTGTGCTCACAATGCTGTGGATGATGAAGGCCCCAGATGGCACTTGAAATACAAACAAACAACATTTTTATAACTAAGGGAAAAGTCAGGAGGAGGGAGTAGTTAAGAATAATCGACAACGCATCCCTACTTTCCCGTTTGTACTGTTCAATATCAGCCCTAGTTGAATATTGCTTTTTTTTTCTTTTTCTTTTTTTTAAGATTTTATTTATTCATTTGAGACACAGAGATACAGAGAGCATGAGCAGGGAGAGAGGCAGAGGGAGAGGGAGAAGCAGGCTCCCCACTGAGCCAGGAGTCCGATGTGGGGCTTGATCCCAGGACCCTGGGATCATGACCTGAGCCGAAGGCAGACGCTTAACCATCTGAGCCACCCAGGCGCCCCGAATATTGCTTTTTAAAACATAGTACAGCACCATGATTCACTGGTGACTGTGCTGTTTCCATGGGGTTGTTTGCTGAAAAGTTAGATAATGTCATCGCTCTGGAAGCCTTGTGCGGGTGGAATGAGAAACACGTGGACCAACTTCAGCCCCCAGATTCACGCACCACGGCCTTCTCAGAAATGGGAGGTAACAGTCTGACCCCATGAGGCGTAAGAATGAGTGCATTCTCTCATTCCATGTGGGACCTGAAACTGCTTTTAGATCTTTGACATTTATGTCTCAGTTTTCCCTTTGCCACGAAAAATACTGAGTTCAAAAGGAATGCCTCCTTCTTGGAAAATAATTCTTAATGACTGTATTTAAAGAATTATAGCACAGGGGTGCCTGGGTGGCTCAGTCGGTTGAGCACCCGACTCACGGTTTCAGCTCATGTCATGATCTCCTGGGTCGTGGGATTGAGCCCCGAGTTCCACGAGTCCTGTTCCCAGCTCCACGGGGAATCTGCTTGTCTTCCTTTCTCCCTCTGCCCCTACCCCCACTCGTGCGCTCCCTCTCTCTCTCTCAAATAAATAAATTAAATTAAAAAAAAAAAAACGGATCCTTTAAAAAAAATTATAGCACAGTGCTAAAAAAAAAAAAAAGAAAAACAACAAAAACCTTGGACATAATAATTCCTGTCCACCCAGGACATGTAAATTCAAATCAGACCTAACTGTTTTAGGCAGAGGGATTTCAAAATTAGTGGGAACAGATCAGCTAGCAGGTCCCATCAGACATAGTTACAGCATAAATTTCTGATTATTAAAAGATGCAATATTTCAGGGGCGCCTGGGTGGCTCAGTTGTTAAGCGTCTGCCTTCAGTTCAGGTCATGATCCCAGGGTTCTGGGATGGAGCTACATAGGGTTCCTGCTCAGTGGGAAGTCTGCTTCTCCCTCTCCCACTCCCCCTGCTTATGTTCCCTCTCTCCCTGTGTCTCTCTGTCAAATAAAATCTTAAAAAAAAAAAAAATGCAATATTTCAGATGGGACTACATAATATTTTCGATGTAATTACACAATACATGTGATTATATAATAATTATGCAGTTACTATTTTATCATTATGCTATTATCATGCACAAAACATTATGCTGAAAGAGGAATGTTTAACAGAAAACGGATGCACAAAGGAGGGTTTTTTTTTCCCAAGGAGTTTATGCTCTGAGAAGAAAGGTTAAAATAAGAGTCCAAATAATACTAGGCAGATGATATTAAGGTATCAATGAGGAACAAACTTGCCACTAGGAATCCCCAGGAGGGAGAGAGGGCATCAGGCTAGGGTGGCTAAGAAAATCCTCATGAGGGTTGACCAGGGTGTTCAGACGAGGTAGAGGTGGAGAAGACCAGGAAACAAGTTTGACTGTTAGGTGAGCTTAGGAGGTAAGTTTGAATACAAGCTGGGACCAACTGGGTATCTGAAATCACCTGAGCTCCAACCTTTGAAGCAAACAGAGCATTTTTAAAAATATTCTATTAGTTTGCTAACAGAGCATTTTTAAAAATATTGTATTAGTTTGCTAGGGCTGCTGTAACAAAGTATCACAAACTACGCTGCTTAAACAGCAGGTGTCTCACACTCTGAAGGCTAGAAGACAGAGTGATGTCAAGGTGTCAGCAGGGTTGGTTCCTCTCAGGGCCAGGAAGAATCTGTTTACCGGCAAACTTGTACATTCCTCAGCCAGAGGATACATCACCCCAACTTCTGTCTTTGTGTTCACATGGACTTCTCCGTGTGCATGTCTGTGTCCAAACTTTCCCTTTTATGAGGACACTGGTCATTTTGGATTAGGCCCATCCTAATGACCTTACTTTGACTTATCTCTGTAAAGACCCTATTTCCAAACAAGGTCACTATTATGAAAGACTGGGGCTTAGGACTTCACCATATCTTTTTGGGGATACACAATTCAACCCATAGCAGACACACACACACACACACACACACACACTCTTTCTCTCTCATACAGCAAGGGCCCTTTTTTTTTTAGTAAGCTCTACACCCAACGTGGGGCTCAAACTCACGACCCTGAGATCAAGAGTTGCATGCTCTTCCAACTGAGCCAGCCAGGTGCCCGTGGCAAGTGCCTTTCAAAAATAATGTTGAAGAGGTTCAGGTCTGGTGTTTATTCTAGCATCATGTCATGGAATAGAACAGAAAAAATAGAAAAAGAAATGTTCTAGCTCAGTCCCTTCCCGTATAGTTTATGGTTTACTCTCACAGTTTATCTGCCTTCTCACCGTATAAAAATGAACAGGTGTGTTTGAGATTAGGGAATGTATTAATAACTCTTCATTTGTATTACAGTTTACAAAGTATTTTCTCATCTCATTTGATCTTCACAAAAATTCTCCAAGGTAAGCTATATTCCCAACATATAGACAAGTGAATTAAGTCTCAGAGTGGCTCCATGAAATGCTTAGGGAGATGCTTTGGGTGAATGGGAAAAATGGCAATAAAATTTAGGTGTTCTGGGACACCTAGGTGGCTCAGTCGGTTAAACATCCGACTCTTGACTTCGGCTAAGGTCGTGGGATCGAGCCCCACATCAGGCTCCACACTGAGCACAGAGTCTGCTTGTCCCTCTCCCTCTGCTCCTCCCCTTGCTTGCATGCTCTCTCACTCTCTCTCTCTCTAAAATAAATAAAATCTTTAAAAAAATAAAAATTAAAAAATTAAATTTAGTTGTTCTGGATTATGGCCCAGATCCTGTTCATTCCATCATGATGTATCAAAACATGAAAGTACAGCAATCACTTTTACTTGTTTATCTTCATTTAGAAAAGATGTGTGCCAGATGCAGCCAGCCAACTGAAGAGTATGTTGACTGAATGAAGATCCAGGCATGTTGACAAGATTATGTAAATTCTTGGTATCGGCATAATGGGAGATTTAAGCAGACAACTGGCAACTACCATTGTGGGGCTGACAGGACAGAAATTCAAGATCTGCCTCTATTCACTGAGTTAAAGACTACATCTCTATCTGCATGGAGAAGGTTCTTTGTAGGACTGAAGAGGAGTGGACTTTTATTTGGTGCCTGATTGTTTCTTTTGGCAGCATGAATCTTGGATGGAGGAAGAGTTTCAAACAAATTAATTTTTAAACTTTTTTTTTTCTTAAGTCAACTCCACACCCAACATGGGGCTCAAACTCACAATCCTGAGATAGGGAGTCACATGCTCTGCCGACTGAGCCAGCCAGGCACCCCAAATAGATTTTTTAAAAATTAACTTAGTCAGATTTTAGTCATAGGATTTGTAGCCCACATCCATCAAGGGTCTGCTATTTCCTTTTGAAATATTTCAATCCAGCAGAAAAAGCCCTTGTGCTTATAAACATGGATAAATAGCTAGATCCAAAAAGGCCACACTTACTCTTTCATTGAAGAATGGTTGTGTTCAGGGCACCTGGGTGGCTCAGTTGGTTAAGCGAAGTTAAGCGACTGCCTTCGGCTCAGATCATGAGCCGAAGGGTCCCGGGATCGAGTCCCACATCGGGCTCCCTGCTCAGTGGGGAGTCTGCTTCTCCCTCTCCCTCTCCCACTTGCCCCTCTTGTGCTCTCTCTCTCTCTCTCAAATAAAATAAATAAAATCTTTAAAAAAAAAAAGAATGGTTGTGTTCATTTTTTAGTTTCTTTTCCTTTTTTTGGTTCATAATATTACCATTTATTGAGAAAAAAATACATCAAGACTCATGCTAAACATTTCTCAGATCGCCCCATTTTACAGAATAAACCTGAGGCTCAGTTCGGTGAGGTGCTTTGTTGAATCCAGAACTTTCTGACTCCATAAAGCTTGATTTTTTGGTTTTGTTTCTTTTTGCTAAGTGTCACTGATAAGATTCACACACCATATAATAAACTCGTTTACGGTGTACAATTAACATGCTTTTTAGTATATTCAACAGAGTGAATTGTGCAACCATCACCCCAAATTGAGGATATTTTCATCACCCCAAAGAAACCCTGTGCCCTTTGACTATCACTCTCACCTCATCTTCCCATCTACTGCCCCTTCCCCTGCCCTAGGCAATCTCTAATCTACTTTCTTCCATTTCTGTAGACTCGCTTATTCTGGACATTTCATATAAATTATATTATATGGTCCTTTTCATTGTTTAAAATAACCTGTGCACCAAATGGGATAAATCGCAATCCTTGGCTCATAATACACTGTCAACATTAGTCCATGTAGAGCCTGCCACTTAATTAAAAAACTAGACCATTAATAGTAATTCAAATCCTTTACTGTGCTTTTCCTCCATCCTATCACTCTGCCTCTCCCATCCAGAGGTAACCACTTGCGTTTACCCTTCTCTTGTGTTTTTATATGTAGTTTCATCACAATCTATATGCATTTACAAACATTTTAGTCATTAGTTTGCACTTTATAATAAAGTTTGAACTCCATGTAGTCATAGAGTAGTAAGTGGGACTCATTTCTTTTACCCGGTATGTTACTGAGACCCACCTATGTTGGTGTATAAAGCTACGGCTTATTCATTTTTCTTTACATGACTCTACCACAATTTATCCAGTCTCATGCCAATGGCATTTGTGGGGTTTTTCTAGTTTTTCTGCTATTATGAACTGTGCTATTGTCTCTTGGCTTACGTGTACAAGCATTTCTCAAGTAAACACTCGAGGATAGTCTTAGTAAATGGTAAAGCAACTGTTTCCTAAAATGACTGCAATATTTTACACCCCATCAGCTATGTGCAAGAGACCCTGTGGATCCACATCCTCTTCAACCTCAGTATCGTAATTTTTGCTAATTGAACGGGTCTGAACTGGTATTCCACTACACTCTTGTTTTGCATTTCCCTGACTTATGTGTTTATGGTCCATGTTTACCCTCTTCTGTGAAATACTTGTTCATGTGCTTGGCCCATTTTTTTCTATTGGGTTCTTTGTCCTGCTTATTGATTTGAATTTATTTTAATCTTTTGTCAGTTCATGTGTTGCAAATACATATACATATAAACATTTTAGTCATTCTAATGACTAATGTATATGTTGAATGTATATGTTTATGTTTTTCTCAGTAAGACTTTTTTTTTTTTTAAAGACAACCCAGAGATCAAAAGTCGCATGCTCTACCAACTGAACCAGCCAGGTGCCCCACAAATACTTCTTTTAATAGACTGTATTTAATTTTCTTAAAGGTATCATTTGGTAGGCAAAAGGCCCTAATTTAATTTAGTTAGTTTACACATTATTTAATCTAGATAAAATATATGAGACAACTGTTTTCAAAGTAGTGGGCAACAGACAACACAAGACTGGGATTACTGAAGTGAAACTCATAAAGCAAATTCTACAATAGTCTAACCTCTCTATCTCAGGACAACTTCTCGTGAGCAGTGCATTGGGCCACAGTCCAAGCAAAGCATGGGAGTCCCACTAAGCTGATGAGCCAGAGATCAGAGATTGCGGCAGCTGAGCAAGGAGGAACTGTGTGGACTGAATGATCTCAAGTGTGTGTGAAGCCCTCAAGTCCATGGTTGATGGCTGGATGGTACATAGCTTGAAAGATAGGTGTATTTTAGTGGGAAGCATAACTCAACTATTACACAATTTCTGTATTTCAGAGGTTTCTAAGAGAAAACAAGACTTTTTTAAAAAAAAGATTTTATTTATTTGAGAGAGAGAGAGATTAGGAGAGGGGGAAGGGTCAGAGGGAGAAGCAGACTCCCTGCTGAGCAGGAAGCCCGATGCCATACTCAATCCTGGGACTGCAGGATCATGACCGGAGCCGAAGGCAGTTGCTCAACCAAACTGAGCTACCCAGGCGCCCCAAGAAAACAAGACTTTAAATTATCCTTATTTAGTGCCTGTTATTTAGTGTCTAAAACCATCATGATGGATGGTCACTTACTTAAGATATGCTAAGTATTAATTATTATCCTAGGCATTCACTGTATTTTTCATTTTTCATAGCAATCCGATGAGATAAATCCTCCTGTCTCTCATCTACAGGTAAAGGAACTATGAAAGCTCAGTAACCTGCCCAAGAAGTCACAGAACTACCTAACGATAAACGCAGAATTCAAGCCGAACAGTCTCCGGAGGCTTCACACTTGGGAGAGGCACCCCAAGATGGGACTCCCTACGGTACAGGCACACCAGCTCCATAACTCTCACTAATTTCCATTCAGTTCTACTCAGTATTTAATGAGCTAGAAATTGTTAGGGGCTGACAATAGGAGATTATTAAGCCCAAATAATATACCATCAAGAAAGACAGATGTGCAAAGACAATGTAACAATGCAGTGATTTGATAAGAGGCTGTATAGGAAGGGACCAGGAAGGACACAGAGAGGGAACCTACCAAGTAGCCTGGCAGAGAGGACAGGTTTTGCTGGAGCTGATAGGCTCTGGGTTATGAATCCCCTCTGTTCTTCACCTTGCTACCTAGCTCAGTGCTCTGCAGGTTATAAACACTGACTCAACTGGGAGGCAGTACAGACAGGACAGACAGAGTGTGATCTTTAGAACCACACTAGTCAGGTCAAGGTCCTGGTGCCAACACCTACCAGCTCTGACCTTGTGCAGGTCAATCTGTGAGACCTCACTTTTTTTCTAGGTAAAACAGGGATAAGTCTTAGGATTCTGGTGACAGTAAGATAAAATGTAAAGCCCGAAGTGCTTGATAAATTTTAGCCATAATTCATGAAACTGACTTTAGTGGACCTAAAATAATTTCACAGTTGATTCGCACTGCTCTTACTGCCTAATGTGATACGAACATTTGATATAAAAGTTCTAGAAAACTAAGCTTTGTGTGGAAACCAAGAACCATTATCTACTCATTTCTCTTTCATTCCCACCTCCATTTGCCAGAGATCATGAGAACTCATCAATCCTGTTGAACAGCTTTTGACTAAAGGTTTCAAGGAGCAGATGCCGTGACAATCCCAGCCTATGCCTTGAGATTTTGTCTGTGTCATCTGGGGATTTCATTCCTATAGTGTTGTTCTTCTGCAGAATTCCTACACAACCCACTCACCAACTCCCAGAAGTAAAACTGGCCCTACTCATGTGGTAGCTTGAACTTGGTTCACGTTGGTCTGTGGGGCACCTACTTGTTTCATATGTATATTATAAGGATGAGTAGTTATTTGATAGTCATCTCACTAAGTATAAAATATTGAATCAAATTATTGACAAAGCATAATTTGTCCCCCAATTTTCTTGCAGATTTTTTTTTTTTAAAGATTTTATTTATTTGAGAAAGAGAGAGCAGAGAGAGAGAGAGAGAGCAGGAACAGGGGGAGGGGCAGAGGGAGAAGGAGAAGCAGAGACTCTCCCTGAGCAGGGAGCCTGATGCAGGGGTTGGATCCCTGGACCCCGAGATCATGACCCGAGCTGAGCCGAAGGCAGACGCTTAACCAACTGAGCCACCAGGCGCCCCTCTTGCAGATGGTTTTAAATTAGTAGGAGCATAAGCCATGGGGAAAATGTGTGGTTTGCCATCTAAATACTGGAGGTGCTCTAAAGTTAGTGGGTCTTCCTGGAACTCAAAAACAAGTTACCTGAACCATAAGGGTGTAAGAGCCGAGCCAGTCTGGAAGAAGCACTTGCTCTACTAGTTACCACAACATATTATGAAGTTCCAACTCCTGCTCCAGGAAAGCTGTTCCTGGCTTCTGCACCACGCTTTCCCACTGGGCTGACTGGGTGACGCTGGGACACTATTTCACTGGCAGATTCTCTTCCACTGTCCAGCTGCCAACTGCCACATCCCAGGTTCCAAGAGAAAGGTGAGGGACACAGGAATTCCGAAGCATGTCTTAGATGATTGCTGTGTCCGGCAAACAGCAACAAACTAGAGCCCTCTGAGTTAGGCCACCCCTCTACCTTCTCTGACCCAAACTAGTCTTCTAGAGTCAAAGGTAGCTCTATGTCAGGTCAGTTAGCCCCAGACTGACATGTCTTAATATCAAAAAAGAAAGAGGATTCCTTTCCTAAATCCTTCTCTGTTTCCAAAATTCTTCAACAGACCTCATGACCAATATATTCTTTTTTTTTTTAAGGATTTATTTATTTGAGAGAGAGAGAGAGAGAGAACATGCACGCACATGCTTCCAAGCACATGGGAGCAGGAGAAGGGGCAGAGGGAGAGAAGCAGACACCCCCACTGAGTGTGGAGCCCAATGAGGGGCTTGATCTCATGACCCTGAGATCATGACCTGAGCCAAAATCAAGAGCTGGACACTCAAGCGACAGAACCGCCCAGGCGCCCCTCTAATATATTCTTTATGATGGTAAACCTACCATGGATCATTGAGAATCTTAAAGAAGAATATAAATTCACTTCACAATACTACAAGTTATGCTTTATTATACAACAGAAGCAAATTATTTGCAAATGGCAATAACTGCTATACAATTGTATTCTCTGATTAAACAAATGTATTTCTTATGTGGAGATTATTCTGTAATAAATATTGTATTTCACAGTACAAAAAAGGAAAAATATGTATTTACAAAGAACAAAGGCAGTGAGACTGTTTCTTTAGCTATAATTATAATAAAAGAAAATATAAAAAAATATAAGAATGACTTTTTTGGGGCGCCTGGGTGGCTCAGTTGGTTAAGCGACTGCCTTCGGCTCAGGTCATGATCCTGGAGTCCCGGGATCGAGTCCCGCACCAGGCTCCCTGCTCGGCAGGGAGTCTGCTTCTCCCTCTGACCCTCCCCCCTCTCATGGGCTCTCTCTCATTCTCTCTCTCTCAAATAAATAAATAAAATCTTAAAAAAAAAAAAAAAGAATGACTTTTTTGCAGCCATATAAACTACCTCCTAGAAACACCAAATAAATAATACATTCAATGATTACCCACCGAACTACTATTCTGCAGCTACTCATCTGAAATAACTGATATTCAATATCAGAGTCCTGGATTTACAATACTGTGTTTTTTCACTGACTTCTTTATCCGCTTAATTTTTTTCCTTAAGACTTGATCATCTTGTTTGGAGATAAACCGAAAATATCTGCAACCTAAAAAAACAAAACAGAGAGTTTTAATACTTATCAATTCTTCAAGTATATTTCTACATTTTTAAAGTTTTGCCTCAGCTCTGACGTACTAGTGATTATGAAATGGGGGGGGTCTGTATGATGTGTACCAGTGTGAACACATTCTAAGGGCCGTTACCAATGAAATGTACGTTTCCTACACACGAAAACATCTCTGATCCATCATAATCAGACCACGTACTTCAACTGGTTTCTCACCCTGCCTTCCAAGCTCTAGTTAAGGTGATATGTGTATTATACACATATTTATATCTTAAATGTGCCTTCTCCAAAAGTAAATTACAGCTTCCCTTTCAATGTTAGCTTGTAAAACAGCCCAAGAGGCACCTGTAACAATAGGAAAGTTCTCTGTAAGAAAACTCTGAGGTGAGGATTAGAATAAACAACTCACAGGTCAGAAGAGATGAGAACTTAGCTAGTCATTCCAGCACCTAGCGAGCAGCCAGATGGTGACTGTGCAGCTCTGAGAAAGGAGCCTCGTGCTCATGAGAAGTTCCTTCTACCTGCTTTTCATAGTCTTACAATGCTAAGCAGATCACTGGTTAAGTATTTCAGACATGAATCAAACTTCTGTAAAAAAAAAAAATGTAAACTGGGGTGTCTGGGTGGCTCAGTTGGTTAGGCGACTGCCTTCGGCTCAGGTCATGATCCTGGAGTCCCAGGATCGAGTCCCGCATCGGGTTCCCTGCTCGGCAGGGAGTCTGCTTCTCTCTCTGAACCTCCCTCCTCTCATGCTCTCTATCTCATTCTCTCTCTCAAAAAAAAAATATAAACTGGATATTACAAGAGATTTTTTTTATATATATTTGATAAATGAGCGAGACCATCAATCACCTAAGAAAAACTAACTTCATTATACTCTCAGCACGTACCTATCCATCCATCTTCTCTAGGAAACTGCTAGGATATATATTGTACCTACAGTAACCATTTTATTATCCCTGAAAACAGTATGGCAGAATTACTAATATTTTATTAGCTGGGAAGCAGTGGTGTCTGTGGTGTTAATGTAATAACCTGTATTTCTAAACACACCTACCACTTTAGCAAAACCAAAATACTTTGTACACAGACCTCTGCTTCTATCTAGAATACAGAAAGATGGAGAGTTTTGCTTCCACCCTAACACAGAGAAAAAGCCAAATAAACTACAAGCTCCCACCTCCTCATGAGCCACCGGATGTGGAGTCACGAGGGGCAAGGGCCGGGCTTGCCTTAGCAGAACAGGGGAAGAAGGGCAGCTACCATACCCTACTCTAAGCATGAAGCAAAGGCAGACCAGAATTGAATCCTGTGATATAATGAGGGTCACCCGAGCACGGACCAAACCCAGTTCGACTCCTGAACAGATTGACTGAACCCCAACACTAAGGCCCGAAAGAAGAGATGGAAAGCTTTTCAGGCATGATTATGCCTAATATTCATAGAGTACTTCTGAATGTATAAAGCACTTCAATGTGATGCTCACTTGACGCTTACAACCATCCTGTAAGCAACACAGACAGGTGTTAACAAAGCCCACTCACACGGAAGTCTCCCAAAGGTTAACTGCTGGACCTAAGTGACAGGGAAAGGTGACAAAACTGGAAAATCAGCCCAGGTTTTCAGACTTTGCTCAAACAGACACCTTTAGGTAACTGTACCAGATGCCTCTATGCTCATAAGCAGTAGAAAATCACAGTCTGAAGCACATTTCTGTTCCTTGACGTGTGTTGAGAAATCTTACAATTGCTTTCATATTTACTTGTCCCCTTCCTCTGAGAAACTGGCATTTTATTAACCTTAGTAACCATCTGAAACACTCACTGAGAATACTAATCCCAAACAGTATCAACCATATCTAAAACCAAGCTGAAGAAGCTCTTTAGGATACTCTGAATTCTCTAGCAACAGACTGCTTATGTTCGCTTCATCTCTGAACAGACCCAGCGGCGGTGGCACAAAGCAGAGAGTCTTCACAGCCAAGAGAGTCCACAGAGAAAAGGTCAATTTCCCTTTCTTTTAAGAGGATTTTTAAATAAGTTATAGGAGGTATAGGGGAGAAATGTTTCATCCTTATAGGAACAGATAGGTAAATATAATAGCAATTATACAAAAATGAGGTCAGCGAAGAATATTTTTCTCTCTTTTAATTATTTTTATTTACTTTTTCTTTCTAATACTGCAAGGTAGACAGGATCAGTAAACTTTCTATACAGTTGCTGTGAAAACAGTCTGCATCCTCTATCTTAACTGGCCCCTAAAGATACTCAAGTTACAGCCTAAAAACCCACCACCACAATCAACAAGATGGAATCGCTGCTTCTAGTCCATGGACAGCCCCAACAAGCAGATCACCTGGCCCCAACTCAACATTCACTTTCCCATCTGCCAGTTATTTCTCCAGCCTCTGATGTCCTTGGGCAATTACCCAGTAAGCTGTGGCATGAATGAATGGTCACCCTTTGTAATTTCAAAATCATCCAAAAGCTATGTCTAGATAAGAAGAAAATAAAACCTTGTACCTTTTCCTAACAATATTCCAGCTACCAAAGCTTTCTCACAAGCCAATGCTTTATCCTCTTTCCAATTGCTTTTTGCCCAAAAGGAGCTGAAGTGAAAGCTTGGCCACCAGTTTTTCCTGGAGTTCCACTCTTCTTGAACCCAGGCAAGGTGATTCCTAGAAAAGAAAAATGTCAAAAGGGAAGGTCAGTGATGGAGGTGGACCTATACTGCCAGAATTTGAACTTAAGAAGAGTCTGTGGGTAGGGCGCCTGGGTGGCTCAGTTGGTTAAGCGACTGCCTTCGGCTCAGGTCATGATCCTGGAGTCCCCGGATCGAGTCCCGCATCGGGCTCCCTGCTCGGCGGGGGGTCTGCTTCTCCCTCTGACCCTCCCCCCTCTCATGTGCTCTCTCTCTCATTCTGTCTGTCTCAAATGAATAAATAAAATCTTAAAAAAAAAGAAGAGTCTGTGGCGTCCCTTTTCAGGCAGCCGGGAAGATGGCGGACATTCAGACTGAGGCTGTCTACCAAAGCAGCCAACCATCTCTCGAAATGAGAAGAGGGTCCTGCTTGGAGGAACAGACAAGGAGAAGCTCCTGCAATATTATAAAAACATCGGTCTGGGCTTCAAGATGCCCAAGGAGGCCACTGAGGGCACCTACACTGATAATAAATGCCCCTTTACTGGTAACATCTCCATCCGCGGGCAGATTCTGTCTAGTGTGGTGACCAACCAAGATGAAGTTGCAGAGGACCACTGTCATCTGCTGAGACTACCTCCACTACATCCAAAAGTACAACTGCTTCAAGAATCGCCACAAGAACATGTCCGTGCACCTGTCCCCCTGCTTCAGGGATGTCCAGATCGGTGACATGGTCACAGTGGGCAAGTACCAGCCCTCGAGCAAGACGGCTTCAACATGCTCCAAGTCACGAAGGCCACCGGCACCAAGAAACAATCCCAGGAATTCTGAGACATCTGTCCACACCCCCCCGCCAAATAGTTATTTTCCCAGTCGGGAAAAAAAAAAGTCTGTGGCAAGATGACAAGGAAGATGTTCTAATTTCTGAGTGTGACCATCCATGGTATAGCACACGCATGAAAGCAAATCCTTTTAGGTTCTTTGATTTCTGCTTTCCATTTCATTAAAAAGCCAGTTCGGTACACACGGCAGTTAAGAGCACACACCCTGAACTCAAAATTCTGGATCTGAATCTCAGATCTTCCATTTATTATCTATGTGATCCTGGGCAAGTTCCTTAACCTCTCTGAGCCTCAATCTCTGTGAAGCTATTAACGGTCCCCATCTCACACATCATTATTAGATTAAACAGGCCCAGGAATATAGCGGTCTCATATAAAGCTCTTTGCATGTTGTCTGGTACTTAGTAAAAGTTCAATAAATGTCAGCTATGATGATTATCACTTAAAAATTACTTTAAAAACCTTACTTCATATGCTACAAAGAATTACTACTCAAATTAAGATGCCATTATTATACAAATACGTGAACACACAGGTCTGACAGTTGAACCCAGACAATGCTAAGTGTTTGTCAATAATTTAATTGAGCAAATACTTATTTATTAGCACCCATGTGTCCCTGTGGCAGAACTTCTAGAGGTTTAAAAAACTGAATAGTACATTTCTCTGCCTTCATGAATCTTGCAGTTAGTTGGGGTTTATATGCTGCTGTAGATGTGGAAAGTGGTTTATAGTTATCACACCAAAACCATTTTATAATCGGCCCTCTTCCATCTCCAAGGTCAAGTCAGATCTGAAGCCTGACACAAGTTCCCATCGATGATGAAGCTTCTAACCAATTAAGATGGATAGGATAAATAAATGAAACTTAACTTTGTCACAAAGTTAATCCATTCCTCTCACAAAGTAAAAATGACCAGGACCACTCCTGCTGTCACTCGAAATGTGGCACTAATGATATCATGATCACAGGGGTATAGTTTCAGATATCCAGCTCACAACGGACTTAACAAATATGTGCTATGATGATCTTATGAGGCCCTCAAAGCCCCACTGAAAATTACTGAAAAACAGCTGGAAGAAAAGCTGCTTCCTATGTGATCTTACAAGATGATGACACACAGATTATCAAGAGCTCTACAAAGAGTCTAGTGAAGAGTGGGAATGCCATTATTTCCAACTTGAAAATGTATAACTTTCCGAATACTGCAGTGGTAAGGCACAGTACTTATTCTGACAGCATAAAAAATCTTTTTTTTTTTTTTTAATTTTTTTATTTTATTCATGAAAGTCAGAGAGAGAGAGAGAGAGGCAGAGGCAGAGGGAGAGAAGCAGGCTCCCCGCCGAGCCGGGAGCCCGGTGTGGGACTCGATCCCAGGACCCTGGGATCATGACCCAAGCCGAAGGCAGACGCTTAACCATCTGAGCCACCCAGGCTCCCCTACAGCATAAAAAATCTTAACACAGGCGCCTGGGTGGCTCAGATGGTTAAGCGTCTGCCTTCGGCTTGGGTCATGATCCCAGGGTCCTGGGATCGAGTCCCACACCGGGCTCCCGGCTCGGCGGGGAGCCTGCTTCTCCCTCTGACCCTCTCCCCTCTCATGCTGTTTCTCTCTCGCTCGCTCTCTAAAAAAATAAATAAAATCTTTAAAAAAAAAAAAATCTAAACAGAATTTTTGCATGTTTTACTTGGGACTGTATTTTCGTGCTTCTGATGTACTCAGAAGAGCTGAGGACACAGTTCAAGAAATCAAAAAAAAAAAAAAAACATAAGAACTTTGTTTAAACACTGAGAGATATCAGCTAAAATACTGGGAAATTTTACTGATGCTGATCCAGTAATAAACACTGTGTCCTTTACTTACCCCACTAATGTCTGTCTCAGATATTTTCCCAAATATTTCCAAGCAGTTATATTTTTAGTGCATCCAGCAAAATCTAAGACTCCAAATAATACCTCCAACCCCAGTTTATGGTGGTCTTCTTTTTCTGCAATGGGCACAACAATCAGAACTTACACAAAGTACTGAAGTACACAAGGCTAAAAATATATATATTCTATTGATAAAATACTACTGAGTTGTAAGTCTTCTAGTTTGGTTAACAGTTTAAAATAACTCATTATGCTTATACTCTCCTGTGATAAATCTGTCCTGGCTAATGAAGTCAGAGTGGTGGGTCTGATTTCTTTCTTTCTTTTTTTTTTTTTTAAGATTTTATTTATTTATTTGACAGAGAGAGACACAGCGAGAAAGGGAACACAAGAAGAGGGAGTGGCAGAGGGAGAAGCAGGCTTCTCGCTGAGCAGGGAGCCTGATGTGGGGCTCAATCCCAGGACCCTGGGATCACGACCTGAGCCGAAGTGGCTCAGTCATTACCCGTCTGCCTTCGGTGGGTCTGATTTCTAAATGGGCTACATTCTACTGAGAGAGGACATTATTTAAAGAACCTGCTCTCTCTTCTAACATAAGAGGACTGACGCAGCCCTAGTACCTAATGGACTTAAGCTGACTTCCTTCTATGAAGAACTATGTTCTTTTCTATACCGAGTTGAAATGCAGTAGAGATTAAAACGAGGTGAATTATACAAATTGAAGCCATTTCACTTGTGCTACTACTACCTAATATTCTACAGCAGAGGTCAGCAAACTTTTCCTATGAAGGGACACATAGTAAATAGTTAAGCTTTGTGAGCCATATAGTCTTTGTCACAACTACGCAACTCTGCTGTTGTAGCGCAAAAGCCACAAACAACACAAAAATGCTCCAAGAGAACTTGATTTATAAAAACAGGGGAGGAGTGGATTTGGCCATGGGCCACAGTTTGCCAGTCTATAGCTTGTCTGCACAAAGAGATACAAAACAAAAACTATTTACCTGATTTCCTCAGTAACCTATGGAATTCTAACATCAGTTTATGAGATGGTACAATCTGATACAAAATCTGAAAGAAAAAATAATCTTGTAATTTTTATACATTTCAAAGGCATTTCTCAAATTTAATTTTCCTTTTTTTTTTAAAGATTTTATTTATTTATTTGACAGAGAGACAGCGAGAGAGGGAACACAAGCAGGGGGAGTGGGAAAGGGAGAAGCAGGCTTCCTGCTGAGCGGGGAGCCCTATGCGGGGCTCGATCCCAGGACCCTGGGATCATGACCTGAGCCGAAGGCAGATGCTTAACGACTGAGCCACCCAGGCGCCCCTAATTTTACTTTCAAAAATAAAGTTCTTACTGTCTAATAATCCCTCAGTAAATGAATCAAGGATTTAAAAGATACTTTACTTTCATCCAGTTACAATTTGGGTATAGAAAGGTGTTCTATGTAAAGCTTACTTTAAAAAATCCCTGTTAGGGGTGCCTATGGCTCAGTTGGTTAAGTGTCTGCCTTCGGCTGGGGTCATGATCTCAGGGACCTGGGATGGAGCCGCAAGTCAGGCTCCATGCTCAGTGGGGAGTCTGCTTCTCCCTCTCCCTCTCTGATCTCTCTTGCTCTCTCTCTCAAATAAATAAATAAAATCTTAAAAAAAAAAAAATCCCTGTTAATAACAAGATAGTCAGGGGGGAGGGGAGGAGAAATACATAAGAACTTTTTATTTACTCCTTATATATTTTTATATTGTTTACCACACTTAAAAACTTAATTTCTTTTCAGAAGCCAGGAAAAAAAAAAAAGCATCAAAATCACACACAAAAAAAGACAATAAATATTTACTGATCACAAATATTTATATAAATCAAAAAGCCCAAAAGGGCAGGGGTGGCTATTTTGGAAGATTGTGTTCAGGGACACAGTACAGTAAGAGTACTCAAGAAAATATTTTTACCATTTTACCATTTTACACACTAGGGAGAAATTAAAGGTTTTTAATTCCTTCTTACTCATTTAAGAATAAGAAAGACTATTTTTATGAATATGTAAAACATAGGATTTAAAGTAAAATTATATTTTTCATTTCAATATACTTCACATTAGAAATCAATTTATTCTGTCTGCTCATTGGGGTCCTTTTGACCTTACACTGAAATTATTTCCTACAAAATGAAAAGTAAATATTATTAATTACTCTTAGTAGTTTTAATAGTTTTTTTAAGTGGAGATCAATCACAATCAATATACCAATATCAGAGTATTTTTAAAACTTGGTTCCTATGAAATCACATTTGTCTTATGATTTAGGGAATTCTGCAAATGGCTCAATTCACCTAGGTTTTTAAAAACTTTTTATTGAAATACATGTAACAGAAATGTATACAAATCATGAGTGTGCCATTCAACACATTCTTACAAAGTTATATGCACTCATATATTCAGCACCCAGATCAAAAGTTAGAACGTTATCAGAACCGTAGTAGTCTTTAGTTCGTCTTGGAGAATTCTTAGCCATTAACCCTTCAAATACTAGTTTTGTTTGTTTACCTGCTTTTGCCCTGTTCTCTCCCTGGAATTCCAATCACAAGTATGTCGGACCTTAACTGAGTCCTCTGTATATCCTTTCATCCTTTCTGCTTTCTGTGCTTTAGCCTGTTTTCTGTACAGTTCATTAACCTTCTTCTGCTATGTTCAATCAGCTATCAAACCCATCTATTGAGTTCTTAATTTCAAACATTGCATTTTTCAACAGGAAAACAGAATTTCCCTAAATCCATTTTGTCTTGAACATAATTAAGTGTTCAACATAGTTATTTTCTGTTACTTTTTTTAAAGATTTTATTTTTAATTAATCTCTACACCAACATGGGGCTTGAACCCACAACCCTGAAGTCAACAGTTGCATGCTCTACCGACCGAGTCAGCCAAGGGCCCCTGTTACATTTTTTAAAGTATTTTCAAAAAGACCATTAGTGATTGACAATCTAAGTGAAGTCACCAACTTGCTTTTGATATAACTATCCTTAATATTTTGTTGTACAAATGGATAAAAAGAAATCTTGAATAAAATACCAACTTTAAAAATACTTTGCATTGAAATAAAGCCTGCTGAAAACTTTAAAATGTACAGTTTCCACATATCAAGTTTTGATAGTGTCAATTTTGATAAACACCTAAGTATAGATTAGAGTTAATGGGCTTTTTTTTTTAAGATTTTACTTTTAAGAAATCTCTACACCCAATGTGGGGCTTGAACTCACAACTCCAAGATCAAGAGTCGCACACACCACCAACTGAGCCAGCCAGGTGCCCCAGCGAATGTACTTTTTAAAAGAAGATTAATAGGTAAGAATTTTTCTTGGGGCCCTGTCAGCTAAGCGTCTGACTCCTGATTTCGGCTCAGTCATGATCTCAGGGTCGTGAGATCGAGCCCCGCATCAGGCTCCACACAGGGAGAGATCCTCTCTCTCCCCACCCCCACCCCTCTAAATAAATAAATATCTAAAAAAAAAATTTTAATGCATTCAAGTGTATACTTAAAATAAGTGTTTTACTATATGTAAATTAAATTTCAATAAAGCTGATTTTCAAAAAGTATCAAAGCAGAACTTTCCCACAAGGGTGGGATTTCCAAAATACTGATCCTCTGCCTTCAGCCTAACTTGGGCAGGGTGGTGGGGGAATGGCAGTGGAGGGGTCACCCAGAGCCTGCAACCTTGTATGTCCACCTCAGGGCACACACAGTCATTTGCTATGACTGCTAGAATTTGAAGTTGGAATGGATGACCTAAAGATGTTTCAAAATTTACTTTTTTTTTTTAGTAATCTCTACACCCAACACAGGGCTTGAACTCATGACCCTGAGATCAAGAGTTGCATGCTCCACCAACTGAGCTGGCCAGACACCCCTAAGAATGTTTTAAAGTAGATCCCCAACCTGGTTCAAGCATTGAAGTAAACATTTTATACCTTAAGCACACTTATCAGTTTCTCTCTCGGTGCCTTCTCTCTCTTTAGAAAGTTGTATAAGTAGATATGAGCATTTGGATTTGATGGGAACTTTTCATCATAGGCATAATTGGTGAGTACCTCTCGGGCTCCATCTTGATCCCCATAGAATTCCAACATCTATATAAAATAAGTCATAATGTCTTAGCTAAATTCTGTAGGATAGCTGTATGAAAGATAATGCACAACTTAACTCTGTTGATGGGTACAAAAATTCATTAAAATGACAAATAGCACTTACTGTAATGCCAGTTTTCGCTTTCACCAGCATATGTCACAACTCTATGGAACACAGATCACTTACAACAAAGGCTTACATGGGTTTCCATTCTTCCTTATCACATATTTGTTATGAAAAATGCAGCAACTTCAACCTAGGAGCTATTCCTATAAGAAACAAAGTCCTCAAGAAGAGCATACTAACAAAGGAAAGAGACCATATGAAGCAACTAACCTCAGTGCCCAACACAACTTCATCCACAAAAGGGGTACATGGGAACCAGAATTCCTTTCCTTTCATTCCCACCCATACATGGGAATTCCCAGATTCACTGGCATGTGGTTTCAGAGATTATCTTTTGACAACATAATGATCATGTTAGCATCCAGGAAACTTTCAAAAAGCTAGTTATTTTGAAGATTTATTCCTAGTGCCCATGCCAAGGCTCCCTGTCCTTTCACACTGATCTGAGATGAGCTGGCACGGCACCCTAATAAACTTCCTAAATGCCATTAGTCTTCATCCCACGTACTGTGACCCACTTTCAGATTTTTGTCCCCTGGTCTTCTCTATCACCACCAAATTGTAAGATATCGCTCTTCTTTTCTTCTAAGATCAGTAAGAATAATATAGAATTAACATTTATGAACTATATTGATACTTATTTTATAAATATTTGACCATGACACGTTATCCAGTAGCAAAGAAAAAAAAAAACAGTAACATTTACAGTGTATTAGTAAAATAAAAATTATCCAGACCAAAAAGACATATTCTCTCTTTTCAATTTTTAAAAAAATTGTGTTTATTTATTTTAAGATTTTATCTTAAGTAATCTCTATACCCAACGCGGGGCTCAAACTCACAACCCGGAGATCAAGAGTTGCATGCTCCACTGACTGAGCCAGCCAGGCACCCCTCTTTTTTTAAAACAATTTTCTCCATTTAGTTGCCTTCTGATCAATAAAGACTTTTAAGGCTTATAACAAAATGAAACTAATAAAACTTTATGAGAAGGCTACTTGCCTCTACATAACTCTTCACAAAAGGGTCCCAAACTCCAGGAGTTTGAATCAATGCACAAAGGTTTACAGATGTCTTCCAGCTGTGGTTGAGCATATTCTGGGATGCTGTGTTGTAAGCATAATCATCTTCATCTGTCCAAAGATAAAAGATTCTTAAAAGTCATTCAGTATTGAGGACTTTGCTGATAGTAATAGCAATCAACAAACTATCCACAAGCTTTGACAGTGAATTCTAACAAAGAATTTTAAAGAATAATTTATATTTAAATTATTTATTATTAAATATTAAAAATTTAAAGAATAATACTAATTCTTCACAAACTCTCCGTGCCCCCCACCCCCACACAAGACAGAATGGGAGGAAGTGCACACATGGGGAACCTTAAGAATGAATCTAGGTGGTAGCTACATGGATATTTGTTTTAAATTATTGATTTTATCACACATTTGTTTTACACACATTTTCTGCATGTTGTATTTCACAATCTTAAAGGTCTAAAAAGAAAGTCAGTCCTTCAAAAAAGACAGCTAATAGAAACAAAATACTTTTTATTTTTGGCCACTTTTGGGGCAAAAAAACCAAGCTCTCCCCTCACCCCAAAAGGCACTGGTATTCTCTTTCCAGAGGACCAGCTAAATAAATATCAATATGGATAAAGGGAAAGTAGGTAAGAAACTATATAGAAAGAAATTTTAAAAGAAAAAAAAGCAGACCTGAGTCAGAATAAATTGAGTGTGAATCTGCCATGGAAGGGGGTTTCCAGTCAGCAAGTACATCAAACCCAACCAGGACAGGTCACAGCAAATGAGACAAATCCCAAGCCAACACTGAGCATACAATGCATGTGTTATGTTCTCATGAGTTTGGTTATCAGAACTAGTCCTAACCTTTTTTTTTCTTATTAAACAGACATTCAAGGTTAAAGATCATCTAAAGAGCTCCACATATTACCCCATCTTTATCTCTTCTTGCTACAGAACAGAATGTCAGCTGCAGAAAGGTACTGAATCATCTACCCAGTGTAAATGCCAGGTTCCAACTGCTTTAATCATCAATGTTTGCTTGAGTTCTACCCAATCAGGTGTAAGAAAAAGGTAAATATTGACTTTAAAACTCATTTAATCGGGCGCCTGGGTGGCTCAGATGGTTAAGCGTCTGCCTTCAGCTCAGGTCATGATCCCAGGGTCCTGGGATCGAGTCCCACATCGGGCTCCCTGCTCCTTGGGAGCCTGCTTCTCCCTCTGCCTCTCTCTCTCTCTCTCTCTGTCTCTTATGAATAAATAAATAAAATCTTTAAAAAAATAAAAAATAAAAAAAATAAAACTCATTTAATCAATATCAACAAGCCTTTTTAATTTATTTTTATTTATTTTTTTAAAGATTTTATTTATTTGTCAGAGAGAGAGAGCACAAGTAGGGGGAGTGGCAGGCAGAGGGAGAAGCAGACTCCCTGCTGAGCAAGGAGCCCAATGCAGGACTCAATCCCAGCACTCTGGGATCATGACCTGAGCTGAAGGCAGATGCTTAACTGACTGAGCCACCCAGGCGTCCCTCAAGAAGCCTTTTTTAAAAGAAATATTATACCAGGCACTATGGCAAGACTAACAAAAGACATAAGAGAGGTATGTGACCTCAGAAGACCAATTAGTCTAGAAGAAGAGATACAACATAAAATGGAAATGAAAAAACTTAGGACAATTGAAAAGCAAGTGATAAAGAGCTGAACGATATAGGCTGAACATGCAGCTAACATATAAGGGTTGTGGCATGGGAATGACCCGTCTAATGAGTCTTGCAGGGCAGATGGCATTCTAGATGGGGGGGGGGGGGGCAAACATCATGATGAAGACAGTATTTCTGAAGTGTCCTGGGAGAGATCCTACTCAGAAAGAGGGAAAGGAATTTTAGGATTAGTGAACCTCCATGCCCATGAGACAAAGGAAATACTACTTCCCACATCAGGATAATAAGGAATCACTGCTTATACTTATGAGCCAATATATGCAGGGACTGAGATTTGGATGGGGGATGAGAAAATTAAAAGGGTTAATCCTAGAGAAGCTATGAAGAAAAACTATACGAGGTAAGGAAGATGCAGAGAATCAAACAAAAATCTGGGGAGGAGAGGATACCACCACCACTGGAAGTAAGAGAGGGAATTGGGAAGTAAGGACACACAGACAATTTCTGGTGTGGTCAATCAAGAAGACTTATCTGTTCTGATCTTTGTACAGAAATAAAACAATTTTACCTTGCCCTATTCTCTAAACATATTCTGATGAATAATATTATAAAACAGGGGTGCCTGGCTGGCTCAGTCAGAAAAGCATGCAACTCTTGATCTCAGGGTCGTGGGTTCAAACCCCACATTGAGTGTAGAGATTACTTAAAAATAAATAAATAAACGTCTTAAAAAAATTAGAAAACAAACTAAACTCCATTCTAAACACACAGGAAGAAATACTTATTATAGGCAATAATGTCCACTGAAAAAAATTTGTAACCCTTCTTAGAAGTATTTTAAAAAGCAATAAATCTAAGATGGTCATGGACTTAATTTACAAATCATCTAATTTATGTCTGAAAAGTTTGATAAAAACAGAAATATTACAAAGGATGATCAAAAAGTTTACATCAATAGAAATGTCTGCTCTTTGAAGTATCTAGGAAGAACTGGGCTTGGAAGTAAGGGAATGAGGTTACTCCTTAAGATTCAGAGTGTCTCTTGCCCACTATTACCACTGTTGTTCAACATAGTACTAGAAGTCCTAGCCTCAGCAATCAGACAACAAAAGGAAATAAAAGGCATCTGAATCAGCAAAGAAGTCAAACTCTTACTCTTGGCAAATGACATGACAGTCTATGTGGAAAACCCAAAAGACTCCACCCCAAATTGCTAGAACTCATACAGGAATTCAGGAAAGTGGCAGGATATAAAATCAATGCATAGAAATCAGCTGCATTTCTATACACGAACAATGAGACAGACGAAAGCAAAATTAAGGAGTTGATCCCATTTACAATTGCACCAAAAACTGTAAGATACCTAGGAATAAACCTAACCAAAGAGGCAAAGGATCTATACTCTGAAAACTATAGAACATTCATGAAAGAAGTTGAGGAAGACACAAAGAAATGGAAAAACAGGGGCGCCTGGGTGGCTCAGTCAGTTAAGCGTCTGCCTTCGGCTCAGGTCATGATCCCAGGGTCCTGGGATCGAGCCCCACATCGGGCTCTCCGCTCCACGGGAAGCCTGCTTCTCCCTCTCCCGCTCCCCCTGCTTGTGTTCCTTCTCTCGCTGTCTCTCTCTGTCAAATAAATAAATAAAATCTTTAAAAAAAAAAGAAATGGAAAAACGTTCCATGCTCATGGACTGGAAGAACAAATATTGTGAAGATGTCAATGCTACCTAGAGCAATCTACACATTCAATTCAATGCCTATCAAAATACCATCAACTTTTTTCAAAGAAAGGGAACAAATAATCCTAAAATTTGTGTGGAACCAGAAAAGACCCCACATAGCCAGAGGAATGTTGAAAAAGAAAGGCAAAGCTGGTGGCATCACAATTTCGGACTTCAAGTTCTATTACAAAGCTGTCATCATCAAGACAGTATGGTACTGGCACAAAAACAGACATATAGATCAATGGAACAGAATAGAGAGCCCAGAAATGGACCCTCAACTCTACGGTCAACTAATCTTTGACAAAGCAGGAAAGAATGTCCAATGGAAAAAAGACAGTCTGTTCAACAAATGGTGTTGGGAAAATTGGACAGTCACATGCAGAAGAATGAAACTAGACCATTTCCTTATGCCATACACAAAAATAGACTCAAAATGGATGAAAGACCTAAATGTGACACAGGAATCCATCCAAATCTTAGAGGAGAACACAGGCAGCAACCTCTGTGACCTCGGCCACAGCAACTTCTTGCCAGACATGTCTCCAAAGACAAGGGAAGCAAGGGCAAAATGAACTATTGGGACTTCATCAAGATAAAAAGCTTTTGCAGAGCAAAGGAAACAGTCGATAAAACCAAAAGACAACCGACAAAATGGGAGAAGATATTTGCAAATGACATATCAGATAAAGGGCTAAGTACCCAAAATCTATAAAGAACTTATCAAACTCAACACCCAAAGAACAAATGATCCAATCAAGAAATGGGCAGAAGACATGAACAGACATTTCTCCAAAGAAGACATACAAATGGCCAACAGATACATGAAAAAAAATGCTCGACATCACTAGGCATCAGGGAAATACAAATCAAAACCGCAATGAGATACCACCTCACACCAGTCAGAATGGCTAAAATTAACAAGTCAGAAAACGACAGATGTTAGCGGGGATGTGGAGAAAGGGGAACCCTCCTACACTGGTGGGAATGCAAGCTGGTGCAGCCACTCTGGAAAACAGTATGGAGGTTCCTCAAGAAGTTGAAAATAGGGCGCCTGGGTGGCTCAGAGGGTTAAGCGTCTGCCTTCAGCTCAGGTCATGATCCCAGGGTCCTGGGATCGAGTCCCACAACGGGCTCCTGGCTCAGCAGGGAGTCTGCTTCTCCCTCTCTCTCTGCCTCTCCCACTGCTCATGCTCTCTCTCTGTATCTCTGTGCCTCAAATGAATAAATAAAATCTTTAAAAAAAAAAGTTGAAAATAGAGCTACCCTATGACCCAGCAATTGCTCTACTGGGTATTTACCCCAAAGATACAAATGTAGGGATCCGAAGGGGCACCTGCTCCCCAATGTTTATAGCAGCAATGTCCACAATAACCAAACTATGGAAAGAGCCCAGATGTCCATCAACAGATGAATGGATAAAAAAGATGTGGTCTATATATACAATGGAATATTACTCAGCCATCAAAAAAAAATGAAATCTTACCATTTGCAATGACGTGCACAGAACTAGAGGATATTATGCTAAGCGAAATAAGTCAATCAGAGAAAGACAATTATCATATGATCTCACTCATATGGAATTTAAGAAACAAAACAGAGGATAATAGGGGAAGGAAGGGAAAAATAAAACAAGATGAAATCAGAGAGGGAGACAAACCAAAAGAGACTCTTAATCATAGGAAACAAACTGAGGGTTGCTGGAGGGGATGGCGGTGAGGGAATGGGGTAACTGGATGATATACTATATGTTAATTAATTGAATTTAAGTTAAAAAAAAGATCTTGACTGTCCCTGTGATTCAGTCTCATCGACACAAGTACAGTCCTCCTCACTCACCAAGCGTAGACAATTTCATCTTCTTTTTAGACCAAGTATAATACTGCAAAAGCCCTTTATAGGCCTGAATAAGGTTGATTAACACTTCCTGGGAAGACGATTTTTCACCATATCTCCATGTCTCTGCATGACTGAGATTTCTGTTTGCATCTTCAAGCATTCCATGATGCAGAAGGTATAATGCATGTTGTAAGGAGATCTGCAACAATAAGAAAAAGCCAAGACAAATAGGTCATTAGATATCCATTAATCCAAAAACTCAGTGAATATATACACTGGGCTAAGACCTTAGTAGGACACAGATGATGTAACAACATTGTCTCTGTCATCAAAAATGTCAATTTAGCAGAGGAAAGATACATGAAATAATTAACATTATGTAAATGAGCTAAATTATATAAACTCAATGCAACAAATGGGCTTTCAAGACAGATAGTCCTGGTTCAGATGCTACCTAAAGCTACAGAAAGCTGAGTATGTTACTTGCCCTTTGTGAGTCTTATGGGCTATATGGAACAATTATTAACCCTTCAGAAGGCTGTTATGAGGATTAAATGAGATAATATTTGCATACCACCTAGTGCCTACTTTGGCCCATAGCAGGTGATCAGTGTATTATTTTACACATGTCATATAAGCCCAGAGAAAACATCTTAAGAAGGAGTACTAAAGAATGGTATTGGTTCAGATGGAAAAGTGAATGCCTGATACAGAAGCTGTAAAAAAATACACAAAGAATGAGCATCCCAAGTAGGGAGGACTAAGGAGGGGAATAATGGGAAGTACAGTTAATCATGTGAGTAGAGTCAGAGTTCAAGACCTTCATCACAAACAATCACAACAATTTTTCAACTGGTCTCTCCAGTCCTGCCCCCACTACAATCCACCTTCCATGTGGCTGCCAAAGATATCTCATTTGTGTAAAACCCCTCAATGGGTCCCAGTGCCTACAGAATAAAATCTAAGTTCCTTGGGGATGGCACAGAGGGCCCGGCCGACTTCCCCTGGCTTCTACCCAAGTAACTTTTAGATGAAAAGCACTGGATACAGGGCTATCAAACTCTCATCAACCCTGCCATTCCTGTCCACCCTCTCCCCTAATACGCCCAGTGAACACCCACTCGCTTTTGCAGACTCATCTGAAGCATCACTTCTTTCCCTGACTCCCCTACTCATTTACTCCCAACACTCTCCGATTCCAGAGAGCTGACCATTCCCCTCCTTTGCCTTCTCACTGTATCTGGCGTTTCTACTCTGGTACCCATAATAATGTATGTTCCTGTCTCCCTCTATGGCAAGGTCTAGGTCTAGCACATTATTTGGAAAATAGCAGTAAGTGGTTTTTAATTATCAACAAGAAATGTTTTACTGCCTATCTTAATTATTACCCTCAGACTCTGGAGTGTGAAATAAGATTTCTTTCAGGTTTCTTCACTTCAACTGAATAGATTCAACGGGCTTAAAAAAACCCAAACAATAATTTAGTTAAAATTCGACCTTCCCTCCCCAATCAAATGGCTACCCAGTTTCTTCTTGAAAGAAGAGAAAGGAGCACACACTGAGACAGGACACTCTTTTTTCCAACTGTTCAGTTGGAAAGTTCTTCCTTATGCAGAACCATAAGCTGCTTCCATTTAAATTTCACTCATAGTAGACCTGGGCTACCAGAGAATAAGATCCTAAGAGAGCACCTGGCACATAAATAGAAACTCAGAAAATTTTTTCTAATAAGAATCCTAAACTGGGGAAAATCTTTTTTTTTTTTTCAAAATAAGAAAGCAGTGAGAATGTAAAAGAATGCAAATTTAAATGTAGAGTTATCTTTGTACATTTTATATTTACTTATATATACATTTTTATCATTTTATACGTATAAAACATTACCCAACAATTCTACTCCTAGGTATATACTGAAAGGAATTCAAAACAGGGACTCAAACAGATACTTGTAGACCAACGTTCACTGTGGCATTATTCAAAAGAGCCAAAAGGTGGAAACAACCTAACAACAGATGCGTAAACAAAATGTGATAGGTACATACAACAGAATACTAATGAGTCATAAAAAGCCATAAAAAGTTCTAATACATGCCACGATATAAATATATCTTGAAAACATTTTGATAAGTGAAATAAGCTAGACACAATGGATCTTAATACCATGTGACTCCACTTACATAAAATACCTAGAATAGGTAAATTCATAGAACAGAGAATAGATTAGGTTACCAGGGGCTGGGAAGATGGAATGGGGAGTAATTGCTTAATGGGTAAAGAGCTTACATTTGGGATGATGAAAAAGTTTTGGAAATGCTGGTGATGGTTGCACAACACTGTGAATGTTATTAACGCCATTGAATTGTACACTTACATTGGTTAAAATAACGTATTTTGTGTTATATATATTTTACCACGATAAAAAAATTAGAAAAAAGGAAAAAACAAAACAGGGGCGCCTGGGTGGCTCAGTCATTAAGTGTCTGCCTTCAGCTCAGGTCATGATCCCAGGGTCCTGGGATCAAGCCCTACATTGGGCTCCCGGCTCTGCGGGAAGCCTGCTTCTCCCTCTCCCACTCCCCCTGCTTGTGTTCCCTCTCTCGCTGTCTCTCTCGCTGTCAAATAAATAAATAAAATCTTTAAAAACAAAACAAAAAAACAACCACAGAGTTAATATTTTAGTTTTGCAGGCCATATGGTCTCTGTCACAACTACTCAACTCTGTCATCTGTCACAATGAAAGCAGCAGCTGTGACAATGAAATGAATGGGTGTGGCTGTGTTTCAATAACTTTATTTAGAGATATTGAAAAAAAATTAAAAAGCAAAGCATTTTAAAACTTATTGAAAAACTCCTCTTTCAGTCAAATATATACCACAGAGAGGGAGATACCTAACATTCTGGAAACATCTCAATGTTTATGGATGAGACTTTAATAAAAAAACACCTGGAGAGGGGCGCCTGGGTGGCTCAGTCGTTAAGCATCTGCCTTCGGCTCAGGTCATGATCCCAGGGTCCTGGGATCAAGACCTGCATCGGGCTCCCTGCTCAGTGGGAAGCCTGCTTCTCCCTCTCCCACTCCCCCTGCTTGTGTTCCCTCTCTCGCTGTCTCTCTCTCTCTCTAACAAACAAACAAACAAACAAATAAATAAATAAAACACCTGGAGAGGAAGTTCCACCTACACATTAGGAATATTAACACATTTTTACGAATGGATTAGAGAGTTAATATTGCTAAAATGTCCATACTACCCAAAGCCATCTATAAAGTCAATGTAATCCTGTCAACATTCCAGTGGCTTTTTTCACAAAAACAGAAAAAAACAATCCTAAAATTTGTATGGAACCACAAAAGACCCCAAATAGCCAAAGCCATCCTGAGAAAGAACAAAGCTGGAGGCATCACACTTCCTGATTCAAACTATATTATAAAGCTATAGTAATTAAAGCAGTATGGTGCTGGCATAAAAACAGATACAGAGATCAATGGAACAGAATCAAAAGCCCAGAAATAAAACCACACATCTATGGTCAACTTAACATTTGACTAGGAAGCCAAGAATATTCAAGAGAGAAAAAACAGTCTCTTCAATAAAAGGTGCTGGGAAAATTGGATATTCTCAAAATAATGAAATTGGTCCTCTATCTTATATTACTCACAAAAACTAACTCAAAATGAATTAAAGACTTAAATGTTAAGACATGAAACCATAAAACTCCAAGAAGAAAACATAGGAAAAAAGGTCCCTGACATTGGTCTTGGCAATGATTTTTTTAATGACACCAAAAGCACAAGCAACAAAAGCAAAAATCAACAACTGGGACCATATTAACCTAAAAGGCTTCTGTATAGCAAGAGAAACAATCAACAAAATGAAAAGGTAGTCTATGGAATGGGAGGAAATATTTGCAAGTCAGATATCTGATATGGGATTAATATCCAAAATAAATAAAGAACTCATACAATTCCATAGCAAAAAAACCCAGTAGTCAGTGGAGCATGCGACTCTTGATCTCTCAGGGTTGTGAGTTTGAGGCCCATGCTGGGTGTAGAGATTACTTAAATAAATAAAACTAAAAAATATATATTTTTTAAAACATCCAATTACAAAAATGGTCAGACATGAATAGACATTTCTCCAAAGACACACAATTGGCCAACAAGTACATAAAAAGGTGTTCCACATCACCAGCCATTAGAGAAATGCAAATCAAAAACAGAATGAGCGACCATCTCGCATTTATCAGAATGGCTATTATCAAAACAAGAGATAACAAATGCTGGCTAAGATGTGGAGAAAATGGAACCGTGTACCCTGTTGATGAGAATATAAATACAGCCACTATGGCAAAAAACTAAAAGGAGAACTACATATGACCCAGCAATTCCACTCCTGGGTCTATATCCAAAGGAAATGAAGTCACTATCTTAGAGATTTCTATACTCCCACATTCACTGCAGCATTATTCACAATATCCAAGACTTGGAAACAGCTATGTGTCCATCTAATGGATGAATACATAAAATGTCATATATGTCTACATATACACATATGTACAATGGAAAGATTATTCAATAATAAAAAAATAAGGAAATCCTGCCATTTTGGTTAACACGGATGGACTCTGAGGGCATTATGTTAAGTGAAATAAGTCAGAGAAAGACAAATATTGTATGATCTCACCACTTACCTGTGGAATCTAAAACCATCAAACTCAGAGAGAGTAGAATGGTGGCTGAGGGGTGGAGGAAATGGGGATGTAGGTCAAAGGGCACAAACTTTCAGTGAGAAGATGAGTAAGTTCCAGGGATCCAATGTATAGGATGGTAACCATAATCAGTAACACTGGATTGGATACTTGAAAGTTGCTATGAGAGTAGAGCTTTAATGTTCTCACCATAGCAACAACAATAAAGCGGTACTACTATGTGAGGTGAAGGATGTGTTAACTAACCTTATGTGGTAAACATTTCACAATATATACATGGATCAAATCATCACACTGTATGCCTTAAACTCACACAATGTTATATGTTGATTATTATCTTAATAAGGCTGGGGAAAAAACCCATTTTCACATATTCAAATTCCCAATTTGTTTTCGCTCTTTCCTTTTTCCCCAAAAGCACCAATTCCTAGAGAATGACTTCAGCAAATGACTGAAATGACTTAAGCAAAAATGTTAGAATTTGGCCCATCATCATCAAGAAGCACAAGGGCCATCACTCGAGGACTGGTTTTGGCAGCCAGAAATATACAAAGAGAGGGTATTTTGTCTCAGAGAACTAGGGAGGTAGCAGGAAATGGAGAAGCAAATGGTTTTCACAACACAACTTCCTTTCAGCCTCTTTTATCTATCCAGGTGTCCCACCCTTTTCCATACCTTTTACGTTATTACCTACCTTATTACTGAGACAAACAATTTCTTTAAAAAATGAGCACTGCTTTCATCTAAAACTAATGATGTAATGTATGGGGATTAACATAAGAATAAAAAAAAAAAGAAAAAAAAGAAAAAATGAACACTGCAAATGTAAATTCACAAAACCTGCATTCTCACCTTTAAGTAATTCATGACACCAATATTTTTCATCCTGTCAGCAAAGGTATTGAAAGTCTCCACATTGCTTTTGGGATGATAAAACAGAATTTCACTTCCGAGCTTCCAAATAATCTGTCAAAACAGAAATTACTAATAAAAATGTAAAACCCTGGGGTGCCTGGGTGGCTCAGTTGTTAAGCATCTGCCTTCAGCTCAGGTCATGATCCCAGGGTCCTGGGATCGAGCCCCGCATTGGGCTCCCTGCTCAGCAGGAAGCCTGCTTCTCCCTCTCCCGCTCCCCCTGCTTGTGTTCCCTCTCTCGCTGTGTCTCTATCTGTCAAATAAATAAAATCTTTAAAAAAAAAAAAATGTAAAACCCTTGCCTTAAGAAATTTCTAAGAATGCTATTTTTTTTCTTACAACCTGTAATTCATTTTCCTAGATACCACTACTGTCAACATTTTGTGTTTCTCATTTCACCCAGTAAAACTAAATATTACATCATATGCGATAAAGTTTTTTCCATCCATTAAATGAAAATACCAGATGGCTGTACTAATGCCATGTTAAAGTTTGTAGTACAAAGAAGGTAGGAAGTTAAGATCCGTATTGAAAATAGAATTTTTAATTAGTATATGGGCAAATATATTAAAGTCAGAAAACTGGGTTTCTATTAACACTGGCTTCTTCACTGTTCTTGTCTAATCTTTATTATCCACAAAATGACAGCAATGGACTAGATGCTTCCTGAGATCCATCAAGCTCGATAACTCTTGACTATATTTAATCTGTATTTAGAACTCCAACTTAAAATTTGTTTTCAACTACAGTCAAATTTTAATATATTTTCTCCCCAGAGCACCGAAACTTTGGTGACAGAACTTGGAGCCTTTCTTTTTCATGGGACTGAACCTATTTCTCTCACCCCAATTTAAAGTATTTCATTTTTTTAAAGATTTTATTTATTTATTTGACAGAGAGAGAGAAAATGAGAGAGCACAAGCAGGGGGAGGGGCAGAGGCAGAGGGAGAAGCGGGCTCCCTGCCGTGGAGCTCATCTCAAGACCCTGGGATCATGACCTGAGCTGAAGGCAGATGCTTAACCAACTGAGCCACCAAGGTGTCCCAAGAATCTATATTTTCAAAAAGCCCTAGCTAATTCAAAAAGAGGCAGACAGGGGCGCCTGGGTGGCTCAGTTGGTTAAGTGGCTGACTTCGGCTCAGGTCGTGGTCTCGGGGTCCTGGGATGGAGCCCCCCGTCGGACTCCGCACTCAGTGGGGAGTCAGCTTCTCCCTCTCCCTCTGCCTCGACCCCCATTTGTGCTCTCTCCCTCTTTCTCTTTCTCAAATAAATAAATAAAATCTTTAAATAAAAGGCAGACAAGTGTCTGAAAACCAAGGATTCAAATCCTTCATTTTACAAATTTTGAACAGAAAGAACATATAACTTGTCCAGTGTTTTATAGATGCACATAGCTTTGTCCATAAACTAAATTTTCAACCAATAGTTAAATATTCTTCACTCAGATTTTTTTTTCTGGGCTCTACTAAATATCAAATAGTACAATGCTTACTCATGTGAAGTTATTTATGGATAAACTGTATTTTACTGAACAAATATAAAAGTATATGCCAGGCCCTGTTCTAGATCCCTCCCCTCATGAAATTTACATTGTATTATAGAGAGACAGACAATAACCAAGAAACAAAATAATTAAATTGCAAGTATCATGGGAAAAGAATGGACCAGGCGAAGGGGATCAGGAGTGACAGCTGGAAAGCGAAGGGGGGTGGTATGGAGTTGCAATTTTAAACAGTCACCGTAGGCCTCAATGAAAATGAGACTTAGTGTTTAACCACAGTGATATCTGAAGAAAGATCTTTCCAAGTAAGGCAAAGGCTATCAAGCAAAAGTACATATGGCCCATTCAAGCAAGAACAAAGAGCTAGTGAGGTTGGAGGAAAAAACCAAAACAAGTATCTGAGTAATAGAAAATGAGGTTAGAGAGGTCAAAGGGGAAAAGGGAGTGAGCAGACCATACAGAACTTGCAGGCAATCATAAGGACGTTGGCTGTTACTCTGAGTGAAATGGGAAGTCATTACAGCTTTCAGCACAGAAGTGACATGATCTGACCTCTGTTTTAAAAGGATCATGCTGCATCCTTAGTCACTGGGGAAATACAAATCAAAACCACAATGAGATACCACTCCATAACCACTAGGACAGCTACAATCAGAAAGACAGACAATAACAAAAGTTGACAAGGATGTGGAAAAATCAGAACCCTCACAGATTGCTGGTGGGAATGTAATAGGGTGCAGCCACTTTGGAAAACAATCTGGTAGTTCCTTAAGAGGTTAAATACAGTTACCATATGACCCAGCCCTCCACTCCTAGGTACATACCCAAGAGAAATTTCAACAAATATCCCTAACAAAAACACGTACATGAATGTTCATAGCAGCATTATTCATAATAACCAAAAAGGGCAAACAACCCAATGTGCAACAACTGAGGTAGTGATACATAAAATGTGATGAAATATTACTTTGCAATAAAAAGGAATGAAGTACTCGGGCACCTGGGTGGCTCAGTCAGTTGAGCCTCCTACCCCTGGTTTCTGCTCAGGTCATGACCTCAGGGTCATGAAGTTGAGCCATGCATTGGGCTCTGTGCTCAGTACGGAGTCTGCTTGTCTCTCTTCTTTCCCCCTTTGCCCCTCCCCCTTGCGCACACATGTGCTCTCTCGCTCTCTCAGAAATAAATTTAAAAAAAAAAAAAAAAGGAATGAAGTACTAATACATACTGCAATAAGGCTAAACTTGAAAACATTCTGTGTGGAGGAAAGAAGTCATGCACAAAGGCCATATATGGAAAAATTCACTTATATGGAATATCCATAATAGAAAGTAGATTAGTGGTTGCCAGGGGCTGGGGAGTGGGGTGAGAAGGGGTGGAACAGCAAGTGACTTTAAGTGGGCACAAGGCTGTTTTGGGGGCGGAGGAGCAAAAATGTTTGAAATTTAGACTGTGGTAATGGCTGCACATCTCTGTGCATATGTACAAAAATACTGAATTGTACAATTTAAATATGTGAACTGTATGGTGTGTTAATTATAAAACTATTTTTTTAAAGGATCACCCTGGTCACTATGTTGAAAAGAGACTAGGGGTGCAGGAGGGAAAACAGACATCTAAGTGAGGGGACAGTGGCTTGGATCAACATGCAGCAATGCAGGTGGTAAGAGATATTCAGACTGAAATTTTTTTTTTTTAAGATTTATTTGAGAAAGAGAGCGAGAGAGAGAGTGTGTGCATGAGTTGGGGGGGGCAGAGGGAAAGGGACAAGCCAAGCAGGGAGCCCAACGTGTGGCTCAATCCCAGATCCCCAGGATCATGACGTGAGCTGAAGTGAGATGCTTAACTGACCAAACCAGCCAGGCGCCCCTCAGACTGATTTTCAAATCAGTCAGACACGGGTTATGAAAGAAAGAGAACTTCAGAGTCTGGCCCGAGATTTAGACAATAAAATAACCGTCACCTCGGGGCGCCTGGGTGGCTCAGATGGTTAAGCGTCTGCCTTCGGCTCAGGTCATGATCCCAGGGTCCTGGGATCGAGTCCCACATCGGGCTCTCTGCTCCTTGGGAGCCTGCTTCTCCCTCTGCCTCTCTCTCTCTCTGTCTCTCATGAATAAATAAATAAAAATCTTTAAAAAAAAAAAAAAGAAAGAAAGAAAAGAACCATCACCTCGATTATAAAGATACTAGCTGGGCTTGAAAAAAGATATTAGAGAAAGATATTAGAGAAACCCTTTCTGAAGAAATAAAAGATATTAGAGAAACCCTTTCTGGAGAAATAAAAGAACTAAAATCTAAACAAGTCGAAATCAAAAAGTCTATTAATGAGGTGCAATCAAAAATGGAGGCTCTAACTGCTAGGATAAATGAGGCAGAAGAGATAATCAGTGACATAGAAGACCAAATGATGGAAAATAAAGAAGCTGAGAAAAAGAGAGATAAACAACTACTGGATCACGAGGGCAGAATTCGAGAGATAAGTGATACCATAAGATGAAACAATATTAGAATAATTGGGATCCCAGAAGAAGAAGGAAGAGAGAGAGGGGCAGAAGGTATATTGGAGCAAACTATAGCAGAGAACTTCCCTAATTTGGGGAAGGAAACAGGCATCAAAATCCAGGAGGCACAGAGAACCCCTCTCAAAATCAATAAAAATAGGTCAACACCCCAACATCTAATAGTAAAACTTATGAGTCTCAGAGACAAAAGAGAAAATCCTGAAAGCAGCTCAGCAGAGGAGATCTGTAACCTACAATGGGAGAAACATTAGATTGGCAACAGACCTATCCACAGAGACCTGGCAGGCCAGAAAGAACTGGCATGATATATTCAGGGCACTAAATGAGAAAAATATGCAGCCAAGAATACGATATCCAGGGCGCCTGGGTGGCTCAGTTGGTTAAGCGACTGCCTTTGGCTCAGGTCATGATCCTGGAGTCCCGGGATCAAGTCCCGCGTCGGGCTCCCTGCTCGGCAGGGAGTCTGCTTCTCTCTCTGACCCTCCCCCCTCTCATGCTGTCTATCTCATTCTCTCTCTCAAATAAATAAATAAAATCTTTAAAAAAAAAAAAAATTAAAAAAATTAAAAAAAAAAGAATACTATATCCAGCTAAGCTGTCATTGAAAATAGAAGGAGAGATAAAAACCTTCCAGAACAAACAAAAACTAAAGGAATTTGCAAACACGAAACCAGCCCTACAAGAAATATTGAAAGGGGTCCTCTAAGCAAAGAGAGAGCCTAAAAGTAACATAGACCAGAAAGGAACACAGACAATATACAGCAACAGTCACCTTACAGGCAATACAGTGGCACTAAATTCCTATATTTCAATAGTTACCCTGAATGTAAATGGGCTAAATGCCCCAGTCAAAAGACACAGGCTATCAGATTGGATTAAAAAATAAGACCGATCGATATGCTGTCTGCAAGAGACTCATTTTAGACCCAAAGACACCCCCAGACTGAAAGTGAGGGGGTGGAAAACCATTTACCATGCTAATGGACACCAAAAGAAAGCTGGGGTGGCAATCCTTGTATCAGACAAATTAG